AGCTTTTTATCCATTTTTAGTCCTTTTTCTTCCTTTTTCGTCTCGTTCTTCTTCTAATCGGGGTTTTAGCCTACAAAAGTGAAAATTACACAATTATGAATAGAAATATACTCGATATCAATTCTAATTAATTCCAGAAAAGTGCCGAATAAGTGTGTTTTTACACACTTATCAACAACTATTGAAGCAAGTTAATGCTACTATCATCGCATTGGTTCCTAAGGTTCCTAATCCTTCTTAGGTAAAGGACTTAAGGCCTATCTCTTGTTGTAATACTATTTATAAATGTGTTGCTAAGCTTATTGCCAATAGAGTCAAGTTGGTGTTTCCAGACATTGTTGGATCTCAATAAAGGGAGACATATTAGCGATAGTATCCTTCTTTCCCAAGAGCTTTTACGAATTATCACCGTTGTGGAGGATTGCCTAGGTGTGCTCTTAAAGTTGATCTCATGAAAGTCTATGATTCTGTTCGTTGGGATTTTCACTTTGCAGTTTTAAGGGTGCTTGGTTTCCCGGTGAGGGTTGTTTGTGGATTACTGAGTATGTCACTACCACTCGATTTTCGATTTCCATTAATGGCAAGTTGCATGGTTTCTTTGCTGGTGGGAGAGGCTTGAGACAGGGATATCCTTTGTCGCCCTATTTGTTTGTCTTGGTAATGGAGGTATTTTCAGGGTTAATGGGGTTGATAGTTGCAGAGCAGGATTTTAAGTACCGCTAGAGGTGTGAAATGGAGAAGATCACCCACTTGTGTTTTGTTGATGATCTTATGATCTTTTGTAGAGCTGAGGTAGGTTCTGTTTCTCTCATTGGGGACTGCCTTAATCGAATTAAAGCTCTTTCAGGTCTTATTCCTAATCTAGATATAAGTAATCAAAGCTCTTTCAAATCTTATCAAAATTCGTATGCCTAAGAAGGAGGGTGGTTTGGGTCTGCGGAGTATAGAGATTTGGAATAAGGTTGCCATGTTAAAACACCTTTGATCCCTTTGTACGGATTCTGCCTCCTCTCTTTGGGTTTCGTGGGCACGAAGTTACTTACTTAAAGGTCGAAGCATTTGAGAATTGAAGTGACCTGGGTACTGCTCTTGGATTTGGAGGAAGATTCCTAGACTTCGGGATATACGAAGGGACAAAATGAAATTCAGAATTGGTAATGTTAGACATGCTTCTCTTTTGTTTGATAATTGGCATCTTCTTCACCCTTTAGAGAAGATACTTGGTGAGAGGATCATTCATGAATCTCGATTGAGTAGACTAGCTAAGGTGGCTGATATTGTTAAGGGTGATACTTGGAGGTGGCCATCAACTCATTCCGCAACGTTGTCTGACTTGATGCCAGATACACTTGATACTTTTCTATCGGATAGTACTAGAGAGGATGTCTTGCGATGGGTGGATGATGCGCATGGAATCTTCTCTATTCGGAGTGCTTGAGCCTCTATTTGACTTCACTGGCCTAGGGTGACTTGGTATTACATTGTATGGTTCTCTAAGTGTATTCCCCGTCATGCATTTATCCTTTGGCTAGCAATTCAAGGTGGACTTTATAAACAGACAAAGCTTTTTCGCTTTAGTTTGGTACAGTCTATACGTTGTGTGTTGTGTGGTTGTTCGCAGGAGGATTTGGATCATATTTTCGTTGCTTGCCCATTTTCTGAGCGTGTTTGGCATGCTTTGCATGAAAAATCTAACATGCCTTGGGTTCAGCGGAGTTGGTCAGATACTCTTTCTTGGATGGAGTAGTTTCGTGGGAGGTCAATGCAGTCCATTGTTATTCGTTTGATATTTATGGCTTCAATTTATGCTATTTGGCGTGAGAGTAATGCTGTGACCCATGGTGTGACTCCTAAATGTGAATCTGTTGTTATTCGGGACATTATTTTTCTGTTTGTACACGAGTGGATTTATGTAGGAGCTTAGTCCCATCTAATGAGAGTAGTTGACTCCAACACTCATGGGGTTTTTTTGTGAATATTTTCTATTGTCGTGACTAAGTTATAAGCACTAATCTAGGTTACTGTTATTGGTGCTGGGAAGGCATTTATTCCTAGTCTAGTTTTTCTGAGGTATGCCCCTGTGATCTTGTACTTTATTTTTACATTTTGGATATAATACACTTACCTTATCCAAAAAAAATCTTGTAGTCAATGTCTTTGCAATTTTGGTAAAGTTTGTTTCCTGTTGTCTTGTTACAGCCTTCAAATATCTTCATTTTCATACAAGATATTTATCAACCTTTGATAACTTTAGTAACATGGTGATTTGAAAAATAGGTGTCGGGAGTCTCATAAATATATGAGATTTTGAGAGTAAATGTCTTGTATGTTATAGACATTCATTGTGCTAAGAAT